CGAATTATTCTTCCTTGGTGCAGCGGGTTTAAGAAGTTCTTCGCCCTAATGTACCGCTAGAGGTCCGAACTGAATTATAAACTTTCAGCCCTAACATTTATCTCATTTAAACGTAAAAGAGAGTTCACAATTCTTCAATGGAAGATGGGGCCCATTTCTGCCTGTTTTCGGCAACTGGCGCCGTAGAGGTCTGTGCATTATAAGTGGTTCATAGGCCGCCATTTTCCAATTAAAAAGTAAAAAAAATCGCTTATAACTTTTGAATAATATAACGGTTGGTGCACAAGCTTTGGCATATGGTTCGGACATCTAGGGCTACATTTGGGCGGAGAATGACCGATCGGCAATGAGTAGTTTGTATTTGCCGTGAAAAAGAAACTGTACTTATTTTTTATCTTTTCTTTTTAGGGGCGGGGGGGGGGGGGGGCACCTTGTAGTTTCCGCTGCCACGATTTCTTATCTGTGACAATGATGGGGTCCAGAGGAGCCTTTGCAACGGAGTATGTTTGTAACCCCCCCCCCCCTCCCCCCCCCCTCCTTTCTTTGCATTTTTTCTTTGCTCCTCTAGGGGATTCTTTTTATTCCCGAGTGACTCTCTTCTCCCTCTGGGGTTGTTTATTCTACTATTATATTTGTGTCATTTATTAACAGCAATCCTCCATTGCTTTTACTTTGCGTCCGAAAACTGTGAAGTTCAAACAAAATACGGAGGTGGTCGAAGCTTGGCGGACGATTTGAGAACGACAGCCCTGAGCGGCTGTCAGCGTTCGGTTGTTACTCCGAGGCCACTAGAATCTTTCTTTTAGGCTGTCTTTCCCGTGCACAGTTGTTCTGTTTAACGTCGGAGTGAAAAATTACCTTTAGTCTTTTTTTAATGTTTATTTTCTCGGGGACAACTTTCTGAGGCAGTTTGGCAAGAACGAAAACATGATTGGTTGCCTCAATGATGTGTACACATAAAATGGGCCTTGCAACAATTTTTTTTTAACTTTCGGTAAACACCATTAAGAACTAATTCCTCACGTTGATAGCTTGCAGAATGACCCATTAGTTCTTCTCTGCGCCCAATGGCAAACGCATGACAAATAAAGGAAAGAAACAACTTTCCCTTCGACTCGCAATTAGAACAAGCTGCCACGTAATCTGAGGCTAATATTATACCGCGAGTGGTCACCATAGTCATGCGCTGGGGTGGGCAAAGCATAGAACATGGGCTGAGCTTCAGACATTGTTAGAGTTCGGGTATACTCACATTTCATTAGGCACGAGCCCATCCCAATGTTCGGCGATGCTGATTGTGAACAACCCAAGCAATCGACTCGGGCTCGTGACAATTGATTACGTCACGATGTCTTGTGACTCGCGGAGGAAAGTAGTGATGTCATGTGACATCACGGCGTCAAAAACGTTAATGAATCCAGTGACGTTCTCAATTTAAACCGACTTGATGCAGTAAGACACGTGACATCACGGGGCCACGTGACAAGACATCACTTGACGGCATGTTTTACAGCATGACGTCACGTGACCACGTGACACATGGTTAATCATACTGCCAATAAAGAGCACCACGAAAACCCAGTTTCTACTGAATTGCGATTCTGTATATCGCGATTTGATCAATAGTTAGATATAAGGTTCTCAATTTTAGAGCGCAGCTCTTAGGGGCCCGTTCCCGGCTTGAGCGGCGTCGCCGTCGCCGTCGGCGTCGGCGTCGGCGTCGGCGTAACCAAGGTCATCCCAAGGTCACGTGACCCCCAGGGTCACGTGACCCCTCCCAAGGTCATCTCAAGGTCACGTGACCCCGCGTGACCCCCTGAAGGTCACGTGACCTTGGGGGTCACCTTGGGATCACGTGACCCCCAAGGTCACGTGACCCCTCGAGGTCACGTGACCCCTTCCAAGGTCATCTCAAGGTCACGTGACCCCAAGATGACCCCACGTGACCCTTTGAAGGTCACGTGACCCCTCTGAGGTCACGTGACCCCCGAGGTCACGTGGTCTCCTCCCCAAGGTCACGTGACCCCTTCCAAGGTCATCTCAAGGTCACGTGACCCCAAGGTGACCCCCACGTGACCCCCCAGGTCACGTGACCCCCCGAGGTCACGTGACCCCTCCAGGTCACGTGACCCCCAAGGTCACGTGGGGGTCACCTTGGGGGTCACGTGACCTTGAGGTGACCCCCAGGTCACGCCTCCCCGAGGTCACGTGACCCCCTCCCCGAAGTCACGTGACACCCCCCCCCCCCCCCCGAGGTCACGTGACCCCCCCCCCCCCGGAGCATGCTAAAGAATGAGGGGAGGAGGAGGAGAAGGGGGAGGGGTCTACCCTTAGTACCCTTCACTCCTCCTCCTCAAGAGCTGCGCTCCAATTGGGCGTTACAGGGATTTGTAAACGGCTTTCGCTTTTTTATTGACAAATATTTATGTTGTGATACTAACAAGGAAAAAAAACATACCGCGAACGGTTTTGAACCGGTTACCGTCATATTTTTTTACAGTTCAGTTCCGGTTCGGCTAAATATAACCATTCGGTTCCGGTTTTCGGTTCAGTTAGGTTACGGTTCGACACACTGATTTTGCTGTTCCCTGTCCCCTGTGAACTACAGTTAACGCGACGTCCAGCATGCGTGAAAACCTTTGCGAGATCGGTTTTTAAAAAACATACCTTCAGCTATTCCTCGAATATAACAAAACAAAATTTCCGCTTGCGAGCTTTACATTAGTAAAGCCCGGAACTGGAAATGCCATTGGAGCATACGTCCGCCACAATTAAAGGCAATTGCTTCAAGCTGAAAAAAAACAACAAAAAAACATGCTTCTGGCACACTGATTTCTCCGATTTGATAATAGATGTAGCGCAACTATATGCAATGCCAATGTGTAAGCAAATTTCTTCACCCCTTAACTTTGCGTTTGGATGCTGTCACTGTTTTCCTCTCCTTTATGTCACAGGCGGTCTTCAGGTGAAGTGTACGTACGATAGCGAGCGCGAGACTCTCGAACGTTTCTTCCTTGCTGGAATGTGTGTACAAACAATAAACTTGCGCCGGATGTCTCTTCCGAATGCCTGAACTCCATCACGCGCTCTTTGCCTTCCACCGTGACTTGACTGAGCATGCGCGCTCAACGCTCACGAGACGCCCAAGGGTTAACTAAGGCAGATACGTATATGTAGAGAGTGCGGCCATTCATTGGGAAGTATAGAAAACAAATAAGGAGGCGCCATTGGCCTAAAGCGGGTTGGGCGTGTTCCAGGGCGTCTTCACAAATTCGAATGTGGCCAACCAGAAGCCGGAAATACCCTGGCAGTGGTCGCGAGAAATAAAATTAAGCGCGTGGGAGTAACTCTCAGCGATTGAAAATATGCTGCAGGTAATGTTTCAATCAGGGTCATCCAAAATTAAGGTGGAAGAGTGTGACTAGCGGAACGATCGACATAATCCGTACGCCAGGCGCCGAGGACCCGGAACCTGCCGTCCGGGCGGTCACACCCTGCGCGAGGAAAACTGAGTTCGAGCGGCACATTCGTTTCTTACATCTTTCCGGATGATCATAATCGAAACGTCACGTACGCCCTATTTTCAACCGTGAAGGGTTACTACATTTAGCTCTTACGCGCTCCTTAAAACCATTGACTTATTATTAAAACTGTTTCTCGCTACCACCTCTAGGAAATTCTTTTCGGCTTCTGGTTGGCCAAGAGAGCACTTCGCGATTTCATTGACCAAACTCTCTCTATACATGGCTGTGATCAAAGGTAGAAAGCTCACGCTAGTGGTGGGGCCACCGAAGGACCTCTGTGGCGTTTTCATTAGCTAATGACTACAAGACTATTTCTGTTGTTTACTGACATGAACTGCCGCTTGCGTCCCAAGCGACTTTCGCTCGCGCCGTCTTTTGTGAACCCGTTGATTTTGCTCACGTCACCAATGCCAGAAATCATAAGTTCTAAACGGACAACAAAGTTAGAGGAGATCTAACCAGAACCTTTGGCTGCATGATTTGACATATCGAAGGTTTACAAGAATGTTCGAAATTTGTTTTTACAAATCTCACGCTTCTTCGTTCTTTGGCGTTCAGATGAAGAATTGGTGGTTTAACGCTTCACCGGGATTTCAAGCAGAGGTGTTTAGGCGGGCTTTAATCATTCTTTGTATAAACCGGAAGTTCCCCGGGACGTCAAAGTCTGGAGCATCGCCTGGTGGTGTCTGCCGTGAAAAGGGTTCATACGCCAAGACTCGACGCTGACGTTACGCCGCTGCGGTGGCACTGATATTGGCAGAGCGCATGCGCAGGCGATCCACTTCACGGCAATCTGGTGTGTGCGCACGCGCAGTTCCTACACATCTCTGGGATCTGCAACTTTGCCCACATCTGGCGGGGTTGTTTATAACAATCATCAGCCTATACACGTCTTGTGTTTGTACCCTCTTTGAAGCCTCCGTCTTCGGTTTTAGAAATGTTCAACCATACCCAGCTCGCCCGCCTCATTAAGATATCTTCATGTCAATAGCGACGAGCACTCATCCCATCGTGCGAACTCCTCAGCCCAACACGCGCATATTCGCCGCTTGGGAAAGTGAGCAAATAACGCGCAATACACACGAACACTGGAAATGGAGCAAGCCAAGAGCATTGTGTGATATACAACGACGATATGCACAAAAGGGGTGAGAGAGAGTTTGAAAGAAAACAAGTTGGTTTTAATCGTGCGTAATTGATAGTATTAGATATAAATTTGGGCGGCAGTTTCTGAAAAAAAAAAGTATCGGGTGACAGAGAGTACAATTTTACCATGCACCACGGCGTAACACAGCCGTCTTGATGCTTGATGAGAATAGGGCAATAAATATTTGTTTAGAATATATAAGGGGTATACGTTTTTGTACGATGGAAATGCATTTACTAGCATATTCTTCCCTCCGTGCATCTGCTTGTGAGAGTATGAATTTGTGTGGTTCACACTTCACAGTCCTCAGCGGCATTTGTCATTCACAGACTCGGAATGTCTCACGATGGGGAGATTCCATCCTACAGTGTTCCTGGAGTGACATGGCTTCGATGTTCGGCGACATCGGGATATCTCATGGCACCTTCACTGGGCGGCAAATATGAAGGGTTTTTCTCCCGCTGTTCTCTGCAACACATGAAGGTTTTTGTAGGGTAGGTAACGTTTCTCTTATTTGGATATGTTTTAGATAATCTATTTTTTCTCTACGGCTAAGATTTTATTTTGGTTAAAAATTAAAATAAAATTTACATGCAATATCCTATCACAAACATTAGGGCGGCAGATAAAAAAAAAGTCTAACTGATGTCTACGCATATTGAGGTATTTAGCCCACAAAGCAGAGAGAACAGGACAGAAGAGAGCCGCTTTCTCACCTGTTCTTCTTCTCTCTTCTTTGTGCGCTAAATATCTCAATATGTTAAACTTCCAACTAGCAGAAAGTTCAACATTACTACAATATGTAGACCCATTTGAATTTTTTGTCCCTGTCTAGATATCATAAAATGTAGCCTTCTATCTATACTTCGTTGATCCTCAGGTTAGAGCGCAGTCAAAGGTTAGAATACATGGAACTACAGGCGTATAGGCTTAACCGGCAAGTTGACTGCGAAGTCCCCGAACTCCATTAGTTGAACCAGTAAGAACTTCGCACAAAAAGGGAAAGAACGGGGTGACATTGCACTTCTAGCACTGTTTAATTGCCCCTAGAGATAGTGGCGTCGACTATGCTCTGACCTAATGTCAAACGATGTATAGAGAGATTGGAAACGCAATCATCACTTTGATAGCGTGTTACACGCGGGGAGTATAACATAGAAAGTCAAAAGATAGCACAAAATGAACAGAAGTTGGGGTGTACGAATGATAGTTAAAATCACATAGCACAGCGTTATTGTAAATTTTGACAGTGCAAAAAGATCTGGCATGCCTTGGGTTTTACTAGCATTGTGATGCCTATGACTTATCCGCTCTTCGCACACTCCGAAACAAAAGTATATCTGCCCAGAATTTGAGCCATATTATCATGAAGACATCTAGCGAAAAAAACATGGTTTGCTTGTATTCGTTGATCTATTTTGAAACTAGATCGGACATTTTCATTTCATTTATTATCTCTTTAAGGCCCCGCCAGGGGCATTACATAAGGGGGGGGGCAATACAAAGAACCACACAAGTAGAACTTTTATGCAATAAAAACAACAAAAAAACAAATCATAGAAACAAGATGTGGCTGAGCACTGGCCATAGGTAGGACCATCGCACTGATTACATATTAAATATAGACGATACAGCATTAAGATTGAGGCATGGCTACAACCGAGTGGTCAAGGTCAAACCTCCCCTTTCCCTTTCTCAATCCCCAGGCCTTTCGGGCATTCGTAGTCACTGACTAGGTGAAAACAAAAGGAAGGATCTTTAGTTGGGACAACTGAAGCTCCTTCAGGCAGGAAGGAGCGACGGCTTCGCACTTGATCCAGAAGTGTCCACCAGTGATGTCTTCCTCACGGCTGTGCGACTTGGTGGCGGAGATGGTGCGACAGCAGCTGGTCACGCTGTGTCAGTGGCCCATGGCTTAGTACTCCGACGAGGTGGTTTCGACAACGAAGTTATGAAGCAAAGATAAAAAAAGGAGAGAGCGGAGAAAACTCCTAAAGCCCATGACAGCTAGGGCAGGTTTTTTCAACCAACAAGATGCGAAGCGGAAGAAGAAGTGGGAAAAATTATATTATCAGCTAAAGACTAAGACATGACCACCTTTGGGGTTGCCGAAACTCACCTTAAAGACCTGGAGGTGCCCCCGGTGCGTCTCGGATGGCACTGTGCTTTGTGCAACCTCCGAGAGGGGCAACGGAGATGTGGAGGAGTTGGGGTAATATAAAAAAGCTCTTTAATGTGTTACGGAATGCTCAAGAAGTGTCAAGACCACGCCTGGGTGAAAGGGAACTTATTGGGGTTCCCGGCATCTCTGTGCATTATCTACTTATTGGTGAGAAGTGCTGGTGACGAGGAGAACCAGGCTACAATGACGTGTCTCACCCAGAATGTAAAGGCGATGCAGGTCCGTAGAAATGTAATAGTCATGAGAGACTTCAAAGGGTCACCTGCATGAACTTGACGAGTGGGAACGTGCCAGTCGACAAATATCTATATCCCTAGTAGAAGTTTCAAATGTTTTTCCACCTCGATGGCTACGAGGCAAAGCGCCGGATTCGGATCCCCACGTGGCTGGTTGAATTCCCAGCCGAGGTGCCCGCAATTTGATAGAGGCTCATTGCGGAAAAAGCGCCGTGTAACCGAGACCTCGGTTACACGCAATTTCGGCTTGCAAAAAAAAAAAAAAAAAAAAAAAAAAACGCGTCAGAAAATTTTTGGGTTGTCGAAATTGTTCCTCAGGCCTCTACTTCGGCGCGCCAGATAGGCTTCGTTAGCATGGCACAAAGAATAATAAAAAAAAAAAAGAAACAAGTTTATTTCACATTAATGTATACGTGGCATCACACAGTACCATTTTAACAAGAAATATGTTTTAAAGCTGGTTTTCATTAGAACTGCCTAACGTTACGAAAAAGTCATGAAAAACCGCCACAGAATTAGCATAACAATGTAAATTACTAACATAAGTATTTCAAATCTTACTCATAAGAAATCAATTAAAAAAAAATGTACTCATCTTACTATGCGAACCGAATCGAAGCCCTCTCGGTTTGCAGCCCGATGCTTGTCGTTCATCCTCACTGGCTGGACGACGGGACCGGAAGCTCTTACAACTTCGATCATGATGTAGGAAACCCGAGACTGTTGTAAAAGCTGGGAAACGGTGTCGAAGAAGAAAGACAGGGGAAAAGAACGTCTTGAGACGTTCTTTTCCCCTGTCTTTTTTCTTCGACACTGTTTCCCCGCTTTGAGACGTAATTCCTTTCCCCCGTATTTTGTTGCCCTGTTTTTACCACAGTCTCGGGTTTTCTACATCACGATCAACATCCACCAACTCGCCTGCGCACTCACTGTTTTTACAACTTCTACATACGCGTAACGAGAGGGAGTCGGCAGTCATGTGACTTTACCAAGCGATCACATGGTTGCATCCGACGACGAGTCGTCATAGACGCCTATATAAAGGCAGAGTCATACTCCTATGTTGTATTTTTCTTAGACTCGCAAGTTACTTAAATTTTGTACAGCAGAGTCTCAGGATTTTAATTATGTACAATTTTCACTTGCTCGACCGCACACTGCAATTTATTCTTTTTGTTTTTATAAAAAAAAAAAGGTACGAGCACCCACGAGTAGCCACAGAAAATGTTTAAATGAACCTTCATTTTACGAAAACATTTGGGAGAAAACCTGCGTGTTGCGAGTCTCCCTTGCTCAGAAATACCGGTAAATAGAAACGCAACTGATTTTAAAATATACGCCAGATTTTGTTTTCGACTTTTTCAATAAGATTAAAATAATTTTATTATGAATCGTTAGACTACCCATCAGCATAATTTGATTTGTGTATAGTTATTTTTAGCATTGATGCTAATCAACGTTCAAATATTTTCAGACGTCAGACGGCAGAATGTTACGAAGTGAAGTCGAAGAAAGCCTTCGAAGCACCAGGTAAACTTCCGGGCGTGGGACTGAAGATGACAGATTTATGCAAGAAACTACATCCTCACGCCCCTGGAATAAAATGTTTCTCTGTAAGTTGCAGCAAATCAAATCTTCCAGATTTCGGAGAGACCTAGCAATCTATACATACGTTATTTTATTTCAAATTAAGAGGGAAGATAGGGTCGAATTTCTAGTTTTGAGCAAACATATATATGTTCTAGGCAAGTCTCTATTTAGAAAAAAGAGGAAAGCCACTAATTTGAATACTTCTTTGTTTTCCATTTATAAAGCGAGAAAATGACCGCGGTTGAAAAGAGCCCTTTTCCCGATTGCCCAATGTAGCATGTTTGACTCTCTCTCCTTCATGTCTTTGTTTTTATGATTTTTTTTTCATTTTTGTTTAGATCGTTGTGGACATCGTGAAATCGTTTTCATGGAATTAAATTTAAGGAGTTTTATTTGTTTATAGAAATCGTCGAACTCACCTCCTGCGTTAATTTTGTATGAACATTGATAGGTTGATTTCTGCTAATTGTAGGTAAACACACAGTAAAGCTGGTGAATAACTTTCATTTCAGACCCGTCTCGGGTCTTAAATAAATGAAATCTGCAACCTGCCAAGATATATTTAAAATTATGATCTGCAAGGAATCTCCAAAAGGAGCACTATAATTATATTCAGGTCATTTAGTTCTGCGCATTTTTTCCTGCAATATCGTAACTTAAATGATAGAAATTCACAAAGATACATAGCTAAAATTAATGTTCTAAAAAAAATTTTTTTTCCGTTTTCATAGAAAATATTGTTTTCTAGAAAGAATCATAGCTCATAAATGTCATATTTTATTTGTATGACCTGTATTAAACCATAATATTGGAATAAGCGCGTTCGTATTCAGATGAAAAAAAAAACAGTCAACCTTCTTGAGCTTGGGGGTGTCGATGGTTTCTAAGATATATTGCTTTGTTTCTCGGTCGATTTCTCGCCACGCCATAGTGGCGGAATTGCTTGGAGGAGTGAGGAACGAGACCAAGACGGTGTAACTTCAGTAAAGAACTGTTTCATGTAGAAAAAATCTTAATGAGAAATGAATCATGAATAAAAAAATATTGCACACAGCATTTCCTTTAGCGTGCAGGCATTGTGACAAAGTTCAACCAATACAACAAAACACTGCTACTGAAACACCTAGGTTCTAATTTTATCCCGGCTTCAAACGTACTAGCTGCTGCCGTCGCTCCCAAGCTCGCCGTGGCCTCCACCCCATTTGAAGCATTCGCGTACACAATAATGATCTAAAAAAAATAATCAGAGCACCAAATCGTCCATTCGTCTTACACTCGCGCCACATTGCACGCCACGACAACCTTCGGCACAATACAGATCCGTAGAGGCCATGCCTGTCCAAGGTCCAAGAAGATGCTAGCGCAATAGGATAATACAAGGAGGTTTTAAGACATAGAGAGCGCAGGACGTAAATTTTTAAAGCCTAGTAATAAAAAAAGCTACAATGTATTTTGTTAGTAATGATTCCACGCACTGAAAGTTTGGGAAGAAAGGTACTGAAAAATTACATCTTAAAGCTTCTGTAGCAAAGCCCTATATGCACAAAAGCTCGAACAATTTCTTAGTCAAGACGAAAGACTGTAGTCAATAGTCTTTTTAAAGTATTTCATATTAGGTGTGGGGGAGGACGCTGTAAAGATATTAAGAACTCCTCTAGACTCATTTGTGGAGGTGTGCCTTAGACTACCTCGCGTCCAGCTGTGATTAGGTACCTGCAAATATTTTATGGCAGCGTAAAAGCTGCTTTCAGGTTCACTGTAGCGGTGGTTCCTGCCGCAATTTTGAACCTAAATCCCTTATTTACTTCAAAATAAAACGTAGAACGAAACCGATTTTTAGGCGAGGTAACACATCAATCCAAATATGTTGCATGCACAGTTGATAGTTTACAAAATCCCTCTTTCCTGTGGCAGAATTTATGACGGCCAGACTGACGGGCCTTGCGAGCCCTTTGCCTTTATGGAGAGGTCTATTAAAACGCTATGCTCTGTGCTGCAATAAGTGTGGCCGTTTTTCCCAGTTGAATAATATTCAAATTTGGCCAAACATCTAGATAAGAGTGTTAGAGGAATTTATGACGTGTTTTTCTTTCTTAATTACTGGCCACGTGTTTGTGTCGGTATTACCTCAGTTCCTATTCCCCATGTTAATGGCCCTTATTAACCAGCCTGACAAACTTTTTTGCCGGCGCTGTATTTAATGTTTTAAGGCAGCGATGTCCTGTCCGGTTTCATGTTACGTCATTTTTTTATGCAGATGTAGCTTATGAAAGAAAACGAAAGTCAATTGAACTTCGAATTTCAAACTTTATAAGAACAAATTTCCGCCAAGGACCCCGCACAAGAAGCTTCTAATATAAAGCTACACTACATTCAGTGCCCTGGTACATAAACTCTAAACATTATTAAATAAAACAAGAACACCATCACCTAGACAAAATAGGCGTACGCTCTTTTAGTTAAAAAATGATGGTTATGTGGTCGATGAGAACGTGGTTAAACAATGTCGACAAGTTATGAAAGAGATTGGCGTGCATAATTAGTGCAGAAATGGTTAACGATTCAGAATTTGTGCGGTGGATATTGATTATTGGTCCCCGTTTAGTGAAATCTGAAAGATTCCTATTGAAAAATCTGGATAATTATTATAATGGCGAAAGCCTACATGCATGTAGTAACATATCGTATCATGGGAAATGTCACAACGGGGGGGGGGGGGGGAGTAAGCCTGGTAGATCCATAATAGATTCACCATGCTTGCGTCATCCCATCCAGCATGATCCATCATGGATCCACTATGCTTACGTCACACCACCCGTTATCAGTTGTTCCATAACACAATCTGTCACGATATGCGTGTATGCCACTTTTGCCACCAGAATTACGTTATCACATTTTCCAATGGAAATGAGAAAACAAGCAATACACTCTACATTGAAAAATAGGAAAGCAAAATATACGGTAGTCATTGCAACTGGTAACTTTAATATTATTATGATAAAAAGTTATGTTTTGGTATGAGCGTCAGCGCAGTGTGCGTGCTTTCAACTTGTGCTGTGTTTCTTTTCGACTGTTTTATTTATTTTGATTAGTCATTGACTGGCCTAACTACCCGCCTTGATCTGTAATTCAAACTGTACCCGCATACATTCTGCACAGCAAAAGAAAATATAGTTTTCATAATTGGTTCGGTCGTTCCCGTTCAACGTATTCACTGCAGAATATATGCCCAGTAATTTTCATCGCGGATATATTAAGATGTCGAAAAATGTGTTCTTCTTTTTTGCCGATTTATTTCTTTAGCTGCTCTTTAACAGTGGTATTTTTATTGCCTGTAGAGACAGTGTCTTACTCTGACTGGGCATAGTCAAAGTGTATCTGTCTTTTGCCCTTTATCCGAAACTTTTATGTCCGCAGTAAAAAAACAAACACAGAAACAGGTCATCACCTACGCTGCCCCATCTGCCATATACATTAATAACACAGAACGTGGTCTATCAGCCGATTTTTATGGAGATCTTTGACGTTTGTGAAAGCGGCCGGTTGTAACGGCCAGTCATCGCTGCCGGATGTAATGAAAACCATGCACCGAAAAGCGTTAAGTCCATAGGAAACCATATCAAAGATTTCAGTCCCCGCACGATTTGAACTCGAACCATTAAGATTGTGAGCCAAGTGACTTACCAACTGAGCTATCCAGGTTTTCTTTTCTTAAATGTCAAGCTATTCAGGGTCAGTGGTCGCTAACACGCAAAAGCGAACGCATTGGCGCGGCACGCCTTTCCGGTTACGCTACTTTGATTCACGGCGTGTGTCAGAAATGGCAGCGAACCTTTGGTAGGCGGTGCTGTTCGGGCGCCCTTCTCTTCTTCCACAGTGGCCGTGGTTCATACAAAGTCAGGAACGCCCATAAATGGAAAACTTAACACACATTTTGTGCTTAACCGCCTTTATAAGAATAATCGAGCTTACATGTTTTGCAGCAAGCTTTACGTGTTTCTTAATAAAACAATATGTATTTTTGGAGGTCTAGACCTTACTTCAAACCAAGCAAGACTTATTTATCTTAATTGATTTAAGGTGTCATTAAATGATCAAAATCTTTGTTCAACAGAATTCGACATATAACGAGAAGTGCAAATTCCTGTGTTACACGATTGTCGGCGATCTCATACATTACTTCACTGAACGCCTTGTAGATGGAATGCCTTGTGGCGATAACAAGGTAAGCGAACTGGGCATTTTATGCTGACGATCCTTTATTTTGAAGAGTTATTCCTTATAAAAATTAAATACTCCTTACCTCGTTATGAGTGAAAAAATTTGTTTTCTGCATGATAATTCTACAGGCATATATAATTATATAAAGAAATATTATTGTATTTTATGCTACTACACCTTTGAACGCTTGGTAGGTCTAATTGGGACGGTCGCGCAGCCTAGTCAACAAGTAAAAGCTCAAAAAATGACGTTTGGCGGTCAGGAACATTGATCTTACACAAACTTTAGAGGGCCTCTAGAATCTCGCCCTGTACTCACGAATAGTCTAGCCTTGCATATCATTCTTCTTTTTTCATAAACATGCATATGTTATTTGCGAAATTCGTGTATCTCAAGTGTAGTTCTACAGAACGGAGAAGAATGGGAGATTTACAGGAGAGAGTAAGAAGTCTTCTCTCACTTAAAGCTAAAGGACAACTTTTTTTTTATTCACTATCATTCGTACATTTTGTAAAACAAAATGAATGATCTTTTAGTCGCAATTCCAAGCTTTAGTTTAGGAATATAATTGTTGCTGGTGAAGGGGAAAGAGTTCTTCAGAATTAAAAAACTTGTGAGAGCGCAGAATGACCGAAACTAGGTATGAGAAAAAAAGAAAAACATGTTGCTTCGTTGCACAATTGTGGTTGTCAAGATAACCCTCAGTCGCGATGTTTGAAATGCTTACGCCGATAAATTAAATGCATTACGCTCTAAGATTATCGTAGACCTTGAACTTTTGACTATGTGACTCTGGGTGCAAACTCAGCGGCGGACGTCATGGCATCGTAAAAAGGGAAAGCGGAAAGCGTGTGGTTCCTGATTAAATTTTCCTTTTGCTGTATCATTCCGAGTTTTCGCGGTATTTCTTTTTGAATAAGGGTATAAATAAATACTGGATGCCCCAACAACTATTTATTTTTAATTGTTCGTGTGAGTTCCGGTATGACATGCAAACCGGTCTTGAGATGTGCGACTACAGTTAAATTTCGCTGGAAGTATTCACAAAACAAATTGGTCCTAAGCATTTGTATTACATGCAATAACGTTCCTGTCGACACCCCCGCCCCCGAAAAATCAAAACTGGATTTGTAAATTGAAACGAAAGCGCATGTGCAGGAGAATGATAAGCAAATAAATTAAATAGAAGAAAAGGCCGATCGAACGTACCCCTTGGGAAATCTAACCCGTTACCTCATGATCGTAAGCACGACTCCCAACCATGTAACTTTTTCTTATTGAACTTAGGGAGGGCTACACATTTGCCATGCTGTAAGATGTACCACACTACCGAAAACAAAAATGCCCAGCTCTTTTTTTACTGCAAAAATAAACTGCTCACTCTCTAACTCTCATTGGCCACCCAAATGTAGTTCTAGCTTTTCGAATCAATGGCCAAAGGTGCAGCACGAGCCGTTATCTTATTCAATTGTTGTGTGATTTTCAGAAAATTTAATTGGGAAAACTAGGCCCAGTTTTGCCCATTTTCGGTAGCTGGCGCCAAAAGGCACCATGTATTTGAGAGTTCCGTAGGCCGTCGTTTCCGGATTGAAAATTCCAGAAAATCACATAACGTTTGAAGAAAACAAATTTAGAGATTTTTTTATGCCAGCCTAATACGACTTGAAGGCGAAAGCCCAAGCGCCTATGCATTAAAGACAGACGCATGATTTACTGGCTGACTTGTCCCTCTTAATCTTCTGAGTCATCCTTTTTATTGTGCTGAGTCATGCTTCTGAATCTGCTAAGTCAATTTTCTCGATGTGCTCAGTTATCCTCTTAATACGCTTAGGAATCCGCTGAGTGGTCACGCAAGCGTTTTGGTACATTTCGTGTCGCCGACGTGTTTTCGCTCAAGGACTTTGAAGGTTGACTGAACGATGAGACATACAAGGCCTCCGCCTTAATAATGGGTAATGCTGGAACTTTGGCATCTGGTTTGGACCACCAGCGCTGCCTTTGAGCGGATAATCAGCGTTTGACGACGTGGAGTTTAGGTTTTGCAGCAAAAAAAAACCTATAATTTTATGGGGGGTACACCCGGCATATAGGTGAGGATAGGCTGCGCATGGAGCGCTGCAACGCGATCGACCACAGAAAGTCTTCTTGGCGCGCCCCCGAAAAGCCCCAGCCAACAGCGTCTCCACCATCTAGACGACACAAGTGCTGGAAAACAGAAAAAAAAGGTGTCTCGTTCCCAGGCGCGCGCTTTTTTCCACTAGAAGCGTCTGCTCTGTCATTGAAGAACACTGACTAGAACACCGCACCAGAGATATGCCCGCGTCAACGCGTTTACAAAGCTGTTCTTGCCGCCATTGATGCACGAAACTGGTGTGAGTGACGAAGCGTCTCTAAGCAACACGCGTAGCACACGTGCCAAGTTCTTCATGACATGGCGCACACAGAAGATACATTTAAAAACAAGCTTGTATGCCATAGAGGAGCACGGGAAGCCAGGCCCGCCACTGGCTGCTATTTGCCGTGTTTCGAGGAGTCGTCTGGTGGCGCCGCTTGGGACTAATGTGACGAGACGACTCTTTCTAGCAGCTGGCGGCGCACCCCATGTTGTCCACGCCTACATATATTTACACCCTGACCGTGACCGGGGGGTTGTGATTCATTGGCTGTAAACCGTTGCTCACTAAACTTCTGTAACTTTTTTTTTTTTTTATCAGGCGATTTTTTGGACTGTGCAAATAACGCGGGCGGCTAGCTTTGAATTTTTCTCTTACAGCACGAGGGCTCGTGAAGCCGAGACGCAATCAAGCTCAAGAAGCTCATGCCTTTGTCCGCATTTGTTCAGGGATTGCACAGCTTTCAGCAAGGGACACGCTTTCAAATGAGAACCCAGAAAGGGGACTGTGACAGGGCTCATACGCCTGAAAAAAGTGCTGCAGTCGTCTAGATTCCTTTTGAGTGAAAGGAGAGGAATGTAGTGAACATCACTAAAGAGAAGGAACGGCCACTGATGCTCAGCGTGTTGGTCGTGCCCATGAGACGCCGGAAGTGGAAGAAGAGCGTTTGTCTAGGGACAAGGAAGCAAAGAGGCCTCGTGATGCTCAAAATAAAGGCAGAGTGAGGGAACGAGGGTCGTCTCGACTTAATCAGCGGATTAGTCGCTTCTAAAAGACACCGGAATGCAACCGAATGTTGAGATAATATCCACCAAAGTGCCGTAGAAACGAAGCGCCTGGAACGAATTCGTTAATGACCTATAAAACACGCGTTTGTTTTTCACCCTACGTAATTGAAGTTCCAGAAAAAAATTAAAGAAAAACGAGCAAAGATAACCCCCTCAACTCGCAGCCAGAACAAGCGGCCACGTGATCCGGAGCCGATTATATGCTACCATTGCTGATCATAGCCACGCGCTGGGGTCGGCAAAGCACAGGACACGCGCTGAGTTCCATACATTGTTATGAATCGGCTGCTGTCGTCGTTGCAGCGATTGGACACGGACAACTACCCGAATGCATGTCGAGGCATCGATTGTCACGAGCCCAGATCGAATGCGTCCGCAGTCTTCGCGTCCACTGTGTGAGCAGCATTTGAATATCGTCACCGCAAAGCTCGATGACGCATTCCCGGGGATCATACGGTTGCCATTGTCCCCGCAACTTCGTCATCAAGTTTCGCGAGAGAGCAAAAGGCGGCTTTGGAAGGAGAGACTGAAAGAAATGCTCCGCTTTTATCCTTTGAATTCCGCCGCGATGAGGACGCTTCTTTGTCAGTGGTGTTGCGTTGGAGTATTCTTGGGTCCCACTAGTGCCAGGAAGCTGGTGTAAAGTAAGAAATATTCCTACCCAATCTCGCTGCACAGCCCCTTTAACTGCTGTTACGCGGCACCACAGATACTACACTGTACTCTCGGAAACCTATTTCATAAGAAGTGAAGAGCGCGCGTGCACTGCTTCGATGGATGATCAAGATGCTCAAGAGCACGTTCGTTCATAGCTTTGACATTGATTTGACTGCACAGCCGCAGAATGTTGTCGGCAAATATTGTGCGCTAACTGTGGCTTAGCGTAACTGCAGTTACGTGTGCCCGTATAACAAGGGCATAAGCGTGAAACAGAGTATAACCCAAGCTCGCATGAAGGAACCCTAGTTTTGACATTCATCTTTGTACACGATTTTTGTGCAGTAAATAAAATTGTGATATGATTCCCGTGCAGTGTTCGCTAGACGGCCACAGTTGCTGTGAAGTGGCAAAATAATTTTTTTCGTTAAATTTCATTCGCCTTTGAAATAGTTCGGAGTTAATTGTTCGAATTGAAAACTTCAGCTGGGTGGCGCAAGCCGCCGCCCGATTAAAGGATTTGAGCCGCATGCATCTATCCAATAGCACTAGAAGACGCCCCAGCGAAGTACGCCATCGACAGTGGATCTCTGAGCCGGCCAAAGCAGAAAACGAGCTCAAGCTTGACGAGAGTATGATGCAAACCTGCAGACAAGTGCGTCTTGGTGTCGCCGCGTGTATGTGTCGCACTTGTTAATTAAAGATGCGCTGGCGGCGACGCTAATGCGTCTTACCGTTTGACGCAGGTAGAAAAGTGAGGTGCGTGAGCGTGAGAAAGAGGCAACGTTATTAGAATAGCTCAGTTACGGAACTACTCATAGACGCCGCTTGCACGAGCAGTACATCCCTTACATTCACTGGCGGCCATAGCTGCGTGCGCGACTGCTGAACGCGTTCTCACGGCGAAATTCCACAGTTCTTTTGTAACGTGCATTCCGCACCCTCAAGATTGCCGGTCTTAGCAGCCTATTAATGTGGGCTCGTTCTGAGCATGCGCTCTAGACAGCACCCACAAATATGGCGCCCAGTGAATACTCCTTATACTCTATTTCACCTTGTGATGTACCGCAGGAAAGGCTACAAGCACGAGCTCCTTGCTCTAGGACACGTCTCAGTGGCACAAGCTCTCGTGCATTAAGGGCAGCTGCCAACGCCAACGCTATGAGCTCGCGGTTCTAGCCTTCGCTGCGGTACAACATAAAGTGAAACGAAGTACTGGCGACATGAGCGATCGAAAGCGTTACTGTGGTCGGCCCACTACAATGGGCCGAATGATGACTATGACGTCAGCAAAGGACGTTTCGTCGAAGGAAATAAGAGGATTGTAAGAACTTCAATTTGGACGGTGTTGGCAGTGTTGCTTTGAGAGCACTATGATTTCAGGCTTCCACCATGCCCATTACAAACACCATCAAACTTGTTGTTCACAAGGTAATGACGTCACGAAAGGTAACCGAATGAGGACGCTGCCGAAACATCTCGCCGCTAATAGCCTCCCGTCATTCGATGCGCCGGACGGCTGCTGTGGTAACTGCACTGTATTTAATGGGATTCGTACGTTTTGAATCGCGGCGTCTAGATGGCGTTCCACCGTATTCTATGTTAGGGTGCCTGCATGTCTGTTTGTCTCAGGATGAAGACATCCATTCTTGGCCTGAATGTGCCAGCGTGTGACGCTCTGGCTCACTCGGTGTGTGACTTGGGCGGTAAAAAGGCGTGTATGCAATGGCCAAAGCTACGCGCACGAGCTGAGGGACACCAATTTGCGCGCAATAAAAATGCATAAAAAAAATTGGGCGGAAAAATGGCTGAAATGTTACCACTCAAGCAAAAGCGCGCGTGTGTATGAAGGCACTCTATTATATGGAACACACAGTTATGAACCGACAATCTACAGAGTGAAACAAGGAGACGGCAGGCTCTTTAAATCGACCGCAAAATTCGGTTTGTTAACCTATCACGCTACGACTTTGTGCAGCGTTGCCCACAGATGGTGCATTTTTTTTTTGTAAAATTTGCAAAGAGCAAACTTACCTGAGAAAAGAGTAAAGAAATAAAAAGGCTTAGCTCCTATGAAAACGCAGCGACGCCACCGGTCTTCAAACAACACGGCGCCGTCTCGTACGGGACACAAGAGATGGCGCAAGCGGTCGCGACGCCAACTGCCGCCAACGAACGAGCAGACGACGCCGAGAGCCTGCGTATTTAGCAGACAAGGAACTGCAGTTCCTCGTCTGCCATTCGCACATTTTGTTTGTTTTTACTTCTCAGAGCGAAATTGAACGATGACGTCATGAGTTTCTCGTCCCGGTGTTGGCTGAACGGCGTTCACGTGATCACCGTAACGCCGATCCGCTAGTTTGCGCTGCCCTTCGCGCTAATCGGTCTGCTTCCCCGCTCACCCTCTCCTCTTTCGCCTTCTCCCCTTCCCCCTCTCCCCCGGCCACCACCGTCCACGCCATGCGAAGCGACCTGCCCGCGTCGCGTGTCCTGTCCCTCGTCTCCACAAACGTCCCAAGACCACGTGGTGCGACGTGACGTGGCTATGACTCTGACGACACGAGACCAATGTTGCCTGACGCAACCGAAGTTTCGGTTTCGGTATCAGCTGATGTTTAAATTTAGATTACACAAATAATATTCCACATTTCGCGAATCTGAGGATCACATGTAAGCCTAATTTTTTCGGAATTGAGCGGAGTTGCCCTTTAAGCCTAACATTATTTTACATAATTCTGAATCTACTTGCCCGAGTGTCACCATCCAACATTAATGCGTCATTGTATTCATGTTATATCTGCATATGGGCATCTGGCTCCACTCGGGTGCCCCAAGCAATGCCAAGAGTACAAATTTCCTTAAAGCTGCTTCTAAAATACATTTGACACGGAGGCCTTGATACACCGAATAAGCTGCCATCGCATTTTCTTGACGTAATATAGATCGATATTCCTAAGAATTTCCTATGTAACTAGACATGTGTTACCTGGGGTATACATAGGCGCGGGATTGACATGAACACTGTATATTGCTTACTTAAAAAGAAACTACAAATTTATTTTACTTTTCTTGCCTTATTAGTGGCACTACATAGGGCGCGACACTACCGGCTCTGCTGCGGCTATATCAGGTTTGAGTCATAGGTCGGCCTCCAGTATAGTCTCCTCATACTTCATGCACTTGTTAAACACGTCTCAAGACAATGAAAAGTATAAAAAGCACGCTCTCTTTCTGGCTATCTTGGATTACCGGCTTGTACTTCGACTGTGGTTACACTGGTATGGGCTCACGCCCCACCAGTAGAAGTCCCACTATTGTTAGAAACAGTAAGAATTGTAATTTAAGAAACATTACAAAACATTCAATCACCCTTTTTTATAATATTGACTTTAAACGACAACAATCTAGATACTCAAGAGCTATGATCTAAATTAGACCCTATTTGCCATATCAACTTGCGACATCCAAGAATGAAATGTGCCACCATGGCGACTTCCTGTGCCACACGTCACAAATGAAATGTATGTAAGCAGAAAAAAAACAAGGCCGAAAATTGTGATTGTGCAACCTATCTGATGCAACATATTGTGTAATCACGCTTCAACTAGTAATGTTTATGACGATGGATCGACAACTTCTGATAGTTCAACTTGTTTCTTTAAGCTTAGCCACAAAATATCTTCTAAAACAACAGAATCAGTCGTATTTCATAAAGCCCAAGCAAATGCTGGTGCAAAATCATAAAATTTCCTGACTTCATATATCAAAGTAAAAGACTACCAAAATGAAATGCTTTTGTTCATCAATTAACACGTTGTTAATAAAACAAAATATATATCGCATACTGCTGCACATCAGTACGCATCCCTCTATGCCTTAGGTTGAAATATATGATTCCACCTTCATCGTGACGTGCTAAGGTGGAGAGACAGTCATCCATTGACTAACACTTGGTAGAGCATTTGCACAAAAGTCCATTGACCAAATAGATCAAGCCACAAGGCCAGTGTGCCTGTTGTGATCTAATTTAAACAATTCAGCATAGTATTTGCGATTATGGTGTTTAGAATGTAGAAAAAAGCAAACTAAAAACCACATTGATATACCTTGATAGCCTGCCCTTATCAGTGGCAAAGGTGCTTGGTGCCTTGGACGAGCCACATAAAACGCAAAAATCACAAAACTTCTTTTTTTCTTTTGTTTTTTCCTTTTTGTTTAATGGGAACAGGCCTGGTTACCGTGCCTATAGTGTTCACGGCGCGAGTAGCTTTTAACTCTTTCAATTTCCCCTTCAATCTCCCCATTACCCTCCCCCTGCACAAGGTAGCCAACCGGGACAATTATCGAAGTTAACCTTTAGGTCGTCCTCTTCTTTTCTTGCTTCCTTTCTTGAATACGGGTGCTTAATGAGTCATGTTGATATTTAATAGAAACGAAAATTAATTTTAGGACGTTTTTGCCCCGAATGTTGTAAGCGTGAAAGGCAAAAGACGAGTGGAAATCTGGACGGAAGCTCTCCTCTCAACTGACGTTTTAATAAAAAGAAGAAAACAAAGAAAACACGAGGACAAAATTAATATCTCGAAGGAAGATCGTTGCAAATGTATCTGGATTAAGTTTTTTTTCTCAAATTTGTTCAATATAGTAATCCATTAAACATTATAAATATAATAGAAAAATGGACACAAAACACTAAAATTATGGACAGAAAAAATCAGTTTAGTAAAAATAATATCGGTACTGTAGATTTCTCAATGACAAGGTCACTGATGGCGCCCTGATGACCTGACCTTTCAATATTTCACGTGTTTTCTTACGAAACCGCCTGACATCCCCTATGTTTGTATACAACTGGGCGCATCCACTGTCCGTCAATTGCGCGGCGATATGCCCCGGCGGCGAGTATTTGAGTAAGGCCGTATGTTTTTTTAGCCTCACCTGCAAACGTTAGGCTAAGAGATTTAGCCTAACGCAAAAATACTCCACGCTGAAAAGTGATATGATACTAAAATGAAAAAAAATTAAAACAACAAAATGCTCATATAAAAAAACTGTTCGTGTTGCCAAGTAGTTTTCCGCGACAATTTAGACGGTTTCTAAGCTTAGCACTTACTTATTGTTCACACAGATTCACTTTTGCATTCTTTTAATTTTTAATGAGCATGCAATGTACTGCTTCCAAAAGCGAAGCTTGAGCTGATTTACTAATTCGAATTCTAATTTTTTTTTCAGATATGTTTCAGAGACAAGTGTGGAAAATACAGCACTGACCTGCCTCCGCTACCGACCTTGCCTACAACCGAAACGACCACACCAACAACGACGACCACTACAGACAATGATGATGATGATCACGATGATGATAATGAAGACTCAAATTAGAACTGGCTTTTTAGGAGAAGCTCTCCCGGTGTCTCGTCCTCTGTCGTGTAAACAGCATGAGGTGCTAAAAAAATCTTAAAACGTGGCAATTTTGCGTATTTCATGGTAATAAAGCAAAACTATTTACTAAGAGCATGCTCACTCATGGCCAATTCATCTGGGCCCGTATCACACCGGTGCAGCGCGGTTCGTGTACACGGAAGGCTAGAGGGGAGAGGGGAACTTTCTTCTCTCCCCGCCAGTCTTTCATGTACTAAAGTGGAAAGAGGTTACTGCACTGGACGGGTGTGGTGTGCCCCCAGACGGATAGGTCATTACTCTATAAAGTGGCATAAACCCTTGAAGAGGCAAGAGTAACTGTGGTTACGGTTAGAAATATATAATTTATCAATAAAGTATTGCTTGGTAGGTCTTATCTTGGGAAACATGATTGAGTTGCCCGATGTGCTCAGAAAGATGTGGGGAGTATTTCTAATTCTCATTCTGCACTCCTTTAAATGTGGCGTCCCAAGCCATAGGAGCTGAATATAAAACACAAACAGACCCCGATGAGCGATACGTGCGCTTAACAATATACCGCGTCGTTTTAATTCTGATACCTACCGTCATCCGACAGAGATACTCTTAAGGGAAAGTCATATCTGAGAAGATTATGCTCACCTTGATAAAACTCCGCCGTCTGGGAATTCTCTAATCTCGTCTTGTGGCGCCACTTCTAAAACATTAAGTAAGATCAAGTACTACGTATGCTCTGGTATATTTATTTATAGAGGTTACGATGCAGCGCCTAATATGTAATATTTCGAGGATGGGACGCTTATACATTTAAAAGAATACAAATATAGGATAGTTTGACATTAGCATGCACAAGTTTCAGTTACATTGATATGTAAAAGGGGAAAAACGTAATCGTGAAACAACATATATTTGAACACCTGTATTCAACAGGTGATTAAAAAACAGTTCTGTAGAGGTCATGGACACAATCTCATTTGGTAGCTTGTTCCGTTCGCTGTTATACAAGTAAAAAAAAATGTTTGAACCAGGGTGGAAAGTAAGAATGAAGACGACTTAATCATTATTTAAATTGTGGCCTAAATTCAACAAGTTTGATAATTTAAATCATATTTTTTTTGCGCAAAAATATTTTTGATGATAGAATCAAATGATAAATAAATAATACATAACAATATTTCTTTTTATATCAATGTCTTTATATTTAATTAAAGTAATAATCAAGGAACAAATATTTATATCAATCTGGACACTGGGAGCGAGCACTGGTCTTATGAGCAATGAGGGCGCTGAGCGTTATTTTTTCCTTCCACTTAGTTTCTTAAAGCAAATCAGAACGCTAAAGAAATAAGAAAAAATAATAATAACGTTTTGTCCTACTCAAGCAAGTCAGAACGGGAAAGAAAAAAGGAAAATGGAGCTTTCTAGCATACTAAGCAAATGAATATGCTTTTTTGTAATGTGTCAATAAAGTGTTTCTAAGTAAACTACTTTAAAGATGCAGTAGTGATTTCTTCGGCATTCTAACTAGTGATTGAAATAATTGTTTAATTAATTTATGTTTAAAAATGTATGGTTTTTTACAATCATTAGTTTGGACCCTCAGTGATTTAAATCAAATTAATGTGATCTAAATCAAATAAATGTGATTTATTTTATATTAAAAATCGTAATTTCTTCATCTTGGAGGCGGGAAATAAAAATTCCGACGATTTAAATCTTTATATAAATCGTGATTTAAATCTCATTTATTATCAGACCAGTTTTACTATGATTAATTATATCGAACCATTCCCGGAATATTGAACTGCACTGAACTGAGTGTTACAGTGATTAAGCACGTAAACTATAAGGTGATATGGCATAGGGATAAGTAATAATTCATTTATCTGCACAGTAACGAATGCTTACCCGGCGGTGTGCCAGGTAAGGCAAAGAAGTAAAACCCTCACGCGAAATGCGCCTGATTTCCCTCTACCTTGTACGTTAAGTAAGCAAGGTGAAAGCGCAGGAATTAGTGGAGGTGATGGTGGAAGCTGATGGCGATCACCGATGACGACGACTGACGGTGATCGCAGGTGGTGATGGGGGATATGCGAAAGAGTCAATCAAAGATACCCCAAAGACCTGGCGAAAGTTCGGCAAAGAACACGACGTACATGTGAAAGCGAAGACTAACAACTCTTAGTTTTACTTTTCCAGTTCACCCTCATATATACCCGAGTTTCGAAACAGGAATATTTTCTAGGTAACTCTTAAAGTTAAAGGGGTACGGAAACCAAATTCTGGAGCTCATTTCTTTGTTTCAACACGACGCAGGTAGCAGCACAACCACAGAAACATAAATATTGCGCTAGAAAACGCAAGAAAACATATTTTAAGGTGAATTAAACGATAATCATAAACCACCTGGTAGTTGGTTATGAAGCTTCAATGGAATGTCGTGACGACAACATGCCTCTGAAAGCAGCGCCGCAACGGTATGTCCGCTCACTGGTATAGATTGCCTAGGCCTGAACGCAATACAGAGGCGTCTTGGTGGAAAGAGCCAAAACGAAGTGAGCCACCTTGGTTTCAGCTCTCGCGCGACGTGCAAACGCGTGCTTCGGTTGTTCTCAGGTTTGGTGCGCGTGCTGGCCCCGCGATATCTACAGCCCTTGGATACTTCGACAAAGCGAGATTGTAACGCGTTGACGCCTCCAAGTGGCAAAACTCGTCACTACGGAACGCTTGGTCGTACGAGGCATGATGACGTCAAGACGTCTGCCGGATCTCCCGAGATGCATCGCGCTCCTCCATGGCTGATTTTGAAGCGCTCGCCAAAATCGCGGCATTTAGAGCATAAAATATAGCCATCTGCTCAAAATACGATAGTGCGATTATTGATTACAGGCTTAGCTGATCATATTGAACTCATTTCTTGATGTTTTCTCTATATTTCAAGTTTCGATTCCGTATCCCTTTAAAGACAGATGATTGATGTCATGGCAGGAAAGAGACCCTTTCTCTAATTCAGTGGCATCTAGTGGCTGGAATATCAGTCCAAATTGCCTTATGCTCACGCGAATAAAATCTGGTACCTATTCAACAACGGTAGCGTAGGAAAGTCTGGGTGTTTTTCAATAGACAGTTATGTCTCTAATTTCTTCAGTTTCGATAGTCTCAAGAAACTGCCACTCTGCAGAAGGCGCTTATATTTTACTAAGCATCTTGATAAAACTAACAATTTATTTTCATGAGCTGTCCGACGCGCTCCGATGGCGAACATTCCAAGGACTCACATCTAAGAATGACTTTTTTTTTCATCCGAGCAATGTGGGACGAAAAGATAAATAAACAACCTGACGATTTCCCTCCTCCTCAGAAATTATACAATGTAGAAAACAAAGACAAGAAGACAGGCAGTACAGCACATGGCGCCACTATAAACACTCCAAAATCATAACATTTCGATACTTATGACTTCAAATTCGTGTTATAAAAGAAAGATATCAAATCTTTTTATGTAGATTCTGGTTGTGTAATGCAATTATTACAGATAGTGAGTAATTCTGGAAGTTTCCGTTTCATCACAGGCTCCCCATTACTCGTTTTACACGAAAGAATATTTCCCGTCAATGCTACGTGTGGGATATGTAATTGTTCTTTTACATAAACAAGCTAACTGAGTAAAAATGTTCGTGTTGTTCTTTGCTTTCTGTTTATAGATTATACTCAAGCGAAATGCTTACGTGCTACGTATGTTCATTATGCCATGTTTTTAAAAAAGTGGTAGAGAAGAGTGATCATACGAAACGTTATCTATATTTCTTAGCATATTCTTCTGCAATAAGTAGGTCTTCTAAAAAAGTTTTGAGGGTCGTGTTTCCTCATGCTAGATAAAAGTAATTCATATGCGAATAAAATATTGTGTTATGTACGAGACGTTTAACTCTAGTAGCTCAAATTTGCAGATGAATATAAGTTAAAACTACGACACTCAATAGTTTCGACACGACATAGTTTGCATGTTTTTCCCAAGTCGTCCCTTCCGTGGAGAATACGCCAAGGGTTTTGAAGGCGCTGACTCATTCTATTTCTGAATCGTACAAACTAATATCTTCATAAACGCATACATTTTTGTTTTTTGGGCGAAATAGGTTAGCTTTAGTTTTAGTTGTGTTCATTTTTAGCGCGTTATTTAGAGTCCATCTTTCCAATATAACAAAGCTTGCATTTGCTCGGAAATTTAGTTCAGAGGGACATTTTTCGGAGAACAACAATCTAATATCACCTGCAAAAATAATATATTTGGCGACGTTATCGAAGTTTATTTGATTGTTCAAATATATGTTAAATGAGAACGGACCCAGGATACTCCCTTCCGGCACACCTGATAAAATTGGTTTTATATCGAAGGAGTGACCATTTAATTGTACAAATTGCTTTCAACTACTTAGATACGATGTTAAATGCGCTTAAGCGTTTCCGAGAAAACCATAATTTTCAAGACAAAAACCTCAGTGGCGTACAGTCTTCCTTATGGATGTTTAAACTGTCAAATTCGAAGCCTAGAAGTTTTATTCAAGAATGTTCCTCACAACAAATGTATTTAGAGATCTGAGCCACCGACTCATACATGACTATGTGGTGAACATTCATTTTTATGTGTATTATAGTTTACGAGATCTAGTCTGCATTGATTTATGGCATCCATGCTGAAACTGGGTGGGGTTCTCTAGGCATAATTAAAGAGGTAAACATTTGAGAACGGACGAAAGGAATGATATTAGAACGGTATCTTCGATCCTCTTTTCTTTGTATTATTCCTAATTTGTCACTTTATTTCATATGAGTCGTTTAGTTTCTTGGAGCGCAGTTCTTAGGCACCCGTTTCTGCGTTTTGCGGCGTCGCGGTCGGCATAACTGCCCCACCAAACTTGGCACCAAATTGAATGACTGTTGAGGTCATGTGACGTTAATTTTTCTGCTAAGTCTAGCTGAGA